GGCTTTTTTCTTTTTGCTTATGTGGTGCTGAGGAATTGAACCCAGGGCCTCATGCATGCAAGGCAAGCGCTCTACCACTGAGCCACCTTCCCAGCCCAGGAACTACTTTCTTACCAGTACAGTATTTGGAAAAGATAAAATAATTGATTTTTCTGGGGGATGATACAGCAAGGCAGCATTAGAGAAAACATATGTGGAAAGTTAGAATGCCTGGATTGAAGACCTGACTCTGTAATAAACTGCCTTGGCAAGTCACTCCACAGCACTGAGCCACCATTTCCTCCTCTGTAAATGGTGACGGTAAAACCTGTCTTGCTTTAGCTCACAGGATTGTGGGGAGGTCACAGGATGACAGTGTGTTTGTGGAGGTGCTTTTTACATTAGAAAGTGCTATATTAACATAAGCCATGTTGGACTGAACTGCAAAAAGACTGGGGCAGGAATAGTGACCTAAATACATTGAGGAATCTTTTTAGCGATTTGATTCTTGGCAGTTTTGATTGATGATGTGTTCAACACGTGCCTTCAAAAGAATAACATATTCAGCAGCTTCAGTGTTTCCTTCCATTCAGTGTAGTCATTGCCAAAATTTAGGTGGTGAATGTTTTCTGTAATATTTTACAGAATTACAAAGAATTCAATCATTACTTTTGGCTTTTTTTCTGTTACGGTTTTGTTTTTGTGCCAACCCAGGTGGCTTGACTTCAGGGTCTGGCCACTCACTGTCCCTGAGCTGCTTTCAGTTGGAGATAAGAGTCTCCACATTTTCCTGTCCAGGCTGGCTTTGAACTGAGATCCTCATATCTCATATGAGCCTCATATCTCAGCCACCTGAGTAGTTAGGATTACAGATATGAGCCACTGGCTCCTCACTTCATTATTATTGGTTTTTATATTTGTCTTTAATCCATTTTGTTGTATTTATTTGTACTTCTTAAATTTTTGACTTCATATTCCAAGCACTAGTAACAGTACTTACCTACACATGAATGGTTTGAGAGGTATTTAGTAAAACGGAGAAATGATAGAACTTACAAAAGTATAGATTTTTTTTGTTACATCATTTAATTATAGGTGGCCCTCAGAGGAAAAACTATTGAATGATATGAATATAATTCTTTCTCATTAATGTCAAAAGGCTAAAACTATATCCCAAACCTGACCTTTTTTCATTTTGAAGCTAGTTTTTAAGTACAAGTATAACCTTATCAGATAATACCTTTTAATGCTTATTATTGAGAGTTTGAAGCCGTGAGCACTTGAATTTTCAAGTCCTACAATTAGAATTGCTATTCATTTTAGCTACTTGGACAAAAAACAGTGTTTGATGGACTGCCTAGGTGAAGACCTGGAAAAGGAAGGGTTATCTACAAATTGAGTGAGTTTATTATGGCTTAGTGATTTGCTGATTGATTTCATTTACTGTCAGTTAAGGCTCTCTTAATGTCAGTTTTCTTTGCATAATGCCTTGAAATAAAGACTGAT